TGGCCGGCAGCAAATGTGGGAGCGTAGAAGAACTCTTGTAGAAAGGCAACGGGTGTACGTGTATCTACAAGGCCGTGTAATTTGTAAACCTTGGGAACAGGGCTACATAATGTGGGGTTGGCGACATCTGGGCGTCATCCTCGAGCGTAGTATACTAACGTGAAGGTTTTTCAGTTTTTTCCTATCTTCTACTACAGTTTTGGTCCGATTCTTTTCAAATTGGTTTCGTCGGAAAGATATTGTAAACGCGCACAACTCCTGCGTGGCGGAATTTTGTTTTTTGTCCTAGGGGCGAAATTAACGACCTTTTGCGAGGCGCGCGCGCGCGTCTTCGAGAAGTAGTCAACTTCGGGCGCCTTTTACCTTCCGTTGCGAATTTTGTCACGCGGTTTAACGTTTCGTAAATCTCGAATCGCTGTCTCTCTTTCTCGTGTCGCCAATAGAAGCTCGAGCAATGAGAAGTGCCCCAAAAATTAAGTACTATCTTGTGGAAGGTTTTTAGCGAAATCCAACCAAAATGTGGGTGTAATATAAGTATGCACCGAAAAAGGAATTGTGGTAGCCTCCGACACGATCTTACTGATGGTGGAGTCAAATCTTCAAACGCGCATTGGAAGGGAACGGGACATCGGAAGTGGATACCGACAAAGGGAATATGGTAGCCCCCGACAAGATTTTACTAATGGTGGAGTCTACACTTTAAACGTGAATTGCGGGTGCACGAGGAAAGTGGGAAGCGGGTATCGACAAAGTGAATGTAGTGGCCTTCGACAAGATCTTTTATTGATAGTTGAGTCAAAAGTGGCTAATAGAATACTGATCACACAAAAATGCGCTGAAGTCTCTTCGATCTCACACGAGGACTTTGACAATTTTTTTACATATATTTTTATGATCAAAAATCTCCCATCCAAAATCATCCAAGAGTTGTCCAATACGGTTGACTATGTGCGGGTGGCCGTTGTCGTCGAAAAACAAAACTTCCACCTCTTCCGAGCGATGAAGACCTGGCTCGCAACGCAGCGGTTCGACAGGGACGCCGAACTTTATGTTGGCGTTACCTAGTGCAGGTTAAAATCTCAGGCGGTGGCAGGATTATACAAAGTTGGAATCAAAACGCTTGTGCCTCAATTTGAATGGCGCTTGTGTTGATAAATAGCCCTAGAGTGCAGCTCCTAAATGCATATAATAAAAGGTTTTCTGTACAATTTTTTATTTCAAAACGTCTATTACTTTCTGGGCAACCCTCTTTCCATTCGTTAGGGTAAGTAGGTACCTTTATGCCACAGCTCATTAAATAGTTTTAATAATGTCCATTTAGTGTCAGGTGTGAGGTTATTCAACATTTTTCGTCACAGATCTCATCTGAAGCTGAACCCATTTCGCATGACAAACTCTAGTTCCTCAAATGTGAACAGCCCATTTTACTCTAACCTGTGGTAACTATCGAACTAACTTCTCTTTCGTTCTGTTACAGAAGACAAAGACAGGTCGGTAATTGACGGAACTGCTGTCATTTTGTAATCTACCAGCCAGTATAAATTCACAATTTCTTCTTCATCTTCTATAACTACATTATTAAGTTGTAGAGAATTAAATACTAAAACTGTAAAGTATATATTTTTGTACATCAGTATACTTATGACGTAAATATTCATATGATAAATGCTTATTTTACTTAAAATTAATATTGCACAAAATACTATTACAAGAGGACAATTTCCCCTTTTAATACAAAAAATTTAAGTACTGACCAAAACAGTTGTAGAAAGGCTGCGAAAATATAAAAGCAAATCATCTGGTATGTTCTCTGGTATTTTTAAAAGTTTGAGTAAGCAAGATATTTTATACCCTATGAAGGGATACCCAGACCATTTGCACCACATTTGCCACGCCTTAACGCTCAGCCAGGGGGCGTTATAGCACAGTGGTGCAAACAGTCATTATATTTTCAACACTATCAGGACAAACTAAACATATAACATGCCAAAAATCACTTTGTAAGTAGTGTTTGAAGTCTGTTACTGTTTGTTACAATCGAAATTGACTATTACGTTATTCATACCTGCGAGTAACCGAGTATAAGATTAAAAAAAAA